TTTGCATTTGACACCGAGTTTGCTTTGTGGTCCTGTTCAGGATATATCCCAGGAGGAAATTAGCCAATTTTTGGCAAGTCTGGATTTCGGGTTGCTTCGTGAGGATGCCTCCCCTGGAGGCAACGAAGACTTCAATCCTAAGCGAGAACGGCGAAAAGCAAGGAAAGATGAGTCTCACACGTCGAGGACGAGAAAATCGGGAGCCAACGTCGAGACATCTGCCAAGTCGACTACAGAAATCTTCCAAAAACTTGGGAGAGTGAAAATGGTCAGTTACTGCGAGCGTTAGGAGTCTTTCCGCTTGTGAAACTTGGCGCAATTGTGCAGGACATCCCAACAGAGGCGCTCTGGTACAGCAACCCATATACCCTGCCAGCGCCTCCCACCCTTGTTGACCCTCTTCTGTGTCATCACTTCGCTCACGGGCCGAGAAACTACATGCTTCCCTAAAGGCCCCAGAAATGAGTGCTACCGACCAGCGATTTGTCTCGGATGTCCTGAAATCGGGGACCTCGTCAGACAGACTATCAGCTCTAGTCCTATTGGCGCAATCTAGCCCGATGCATAACACAAGGGCTCTGGAGGGTTTGAAAGCGATGGCGGGAAAAAAGGGGAGAGATGAGAGTTTGAAGGCGTTGAAGGCTATTGTGGATTGGTGGATAGGTGGTGGCGCGCCGGATCGAAAATTAAAGTATGCACGTATAGTAATATCTCTTCCTCTTGCACGTTTGACCTGGCTTCGCTCGTAGGTACTTTGTTGATCAACCACTTACACACCCAGAGGTGACCGATGCGCATCTCACGTATTGGTACTTCGAGGACTGGTTGAAGAAATATTTCTTCTCAATCTTACAAATACTTGAGGTTCGTCAAGTCAAGGAATCGAACAAAGTCTATTGATTCCTTCCTCCAGGCTCTTTCAATGGACCCGCTCCCTTATGTCCGGACTGAAGCCATGATGCTCATCTATCAGTTGCTTTACACCAAGCCTGAACAAGAGCAAAACCTTCTAAGGGTCCTTGTGAACAAACTGGTTCGTCTTCATCCGCCGTGAGAAGGTGCTTCACCTCAATCTAGACAGTATAGGGTGACACGGAGAAGCGGGTGGCGTCCAGGGCTTCGCGCCATGTGGTGACGCTGTTACAGCATCACCCTGGGATGAAGCTTGTCATCATTCGCGAAGCCACCGAACTTATCTTTCGCCCCGTCGCACCTCAGTTGCTACGTCGGGGCCCAAAACTGGCACCGGCAAGCATGTCAAGTTCGGTGACTCAAACAAAATGTCTACATCCTCATCCACTCCCAAGAACACCACTCCCGCTACTTTAGCATCATCACCCTCAATCAGATTGAGCTATCACACAAAGATCCTCCTGGAGTGACGGCAAGTCTGATAGACTTATATTTCAAGCTCTTCAAACAGATCCTCGATGAGAGTGGAAGGAACCCTCAAACGGTGCCAACAGAGGATACAACAGATAAAAATGATAGGAAAGGGAGAGGAAGACGTCCCCAGAAGCATGTCAAGGGGGGGAAATCCAAGCATTCCCAACCGGCTGGTAGCTTCGTGGAGGCAGACGATGCCCATTCCGGGATTATCTCCGAGATTCTAACTGGCCTTAATCGGGCCTTCCCTTACGCAAGCATGAGTCAAGTCACACTGTATGTAGTTCAAAGAATCTTTACCTTCAGCTTTATCTGATATCCAATTCGCAGCATCGACGACCACATTGACACCTTGTTTCGAATCACATCCTCTGGGAGCTTCAACGTCAGTATTCGGGCATTGACTTTGATTCATTTGATCTTGCGTTTCAAACCGGTCAGTATTCAACGCTTCCTGTCATGTTTTTTTTTTTTTGAACATTTTCATGATTTCCTAGGCGATTGAAGATCGTTTTTACGGCTGTCTGTACGAATCAGTCATCGACTCGCGCCTCATTACCACATCGAAACAGGCAATGTGGCTCAACCTAGCATTCAAGGCCATAAAAGCTGATAGGAACACGATACGAGTTGTTGCATTGGTGAAACGCTTCTTGCAAGCGCTGACAATGCATCAGCCCGCTTTCATTTGCGGTGCCTTATATCTACTCTCTCAGGTTCATTCATCCAGTTGGTCTCCCGTATTCATCAAGCTAAATTTATTTTGCTAGCTGATCGAGCTTAGTATTGATTTGCGTATGATGATGCAACAATCTAGCTTAGAGAGATTATCAGGACCAACTGGCAAACGGAAACGTCGGGAAACCCAGCAACCCGAAACCAACACTGCCGTGCAGGCCTACGATCCAAAAAAAGGAAATCCTGCGTCGGCTCACGCAGAGACAACCTGTTTATGGGAATTAGTGTGTCTTTTCATGCCACTTTGTGTCGCTAGCTTACACTGAAACTTTTATCCTGACGGCTACTTCAGATTCCGCTTGTGTATCACTATCATCCATCAGTGTCCTTGCACGCAAAACAGATATTAGCATCCATCCCCGTCACCACTTCCCCCGACCTGGCTCTGAACACGCTCTCGCACTTCCTCGACCGATTCGTGTATAAGAAACCCAAGCCACCTAAGCCTATGGAAGTCAGAGTCATGCAGCCTGAGGCATACGCGTCATTAGACATCGACGTGGGTGGGGTCATAAAGACAAGGGAAGGGATAGGTGGTGGCATATTCATGCACGGAGCGTCTGGTGGCGGGCCGGTAAACGAGGAAACTTTCCGGAACAAAACGGTGGAGGAAATCCCAGTCAATGAGGTGGGAGATTACATTATCATCACAAACTTTCAGCTGACGCTGTTCCCTTCAATCTTCAGTTATTCTTTCATAGGTTCTTCATGACTAAAGTACACAAGGAGCAGCAGATAGCCAAAAAGGCCGAAAAGATAGCAAAAGTAATCGAGAAGAGGAAACAACGAAGAACGGGCGAAGAGGGCGAGTTCTATGGAGACGAAAGCGGAGAGCATTCAGATGAAGATGGAGCGTCAGATGACGAAGTAAATGAGGATGAGGTTTGGGAGGTGGGTTATTCCCTTTCACGTCCATACCTCATTGGCTCAGTCTACCGTCATAGGCATTGAAGAAAACTATGCCAGGCGGACAGGATATTGATCCCCTGGAAGAGGATTCCGACGATACGCCCAACGGGACTGTTGATTCTGAAGACCCAGATGAAGAACTGTCGGAAGCCCAGAATAGCAATGGTGACATCGACACGGACGATGCGGATTCGGACGCCGCTGGCAGCCTTGATGGCGCCGGGGCTGAAGACGGATCCGAAGGCAGTCTCATTGAATCGGACGTGGATCTTGTCGATCTTTCAGATGTTGAGTTGCCGGACCGAGGCAATGAAGACGACCCGAAGGCTTCTCCGTCAGCTTTCGAACCGGAAGACTCAGAAGCCGTTTCAGGACTCCGTAAGCCCCATGCAAGTGATAAAAGTAAAGGAGGCAGGAAGAAACGTAAATTGGCACTGCCTACATTTGCGTCGTACGAAGATTATGCTAAGCTTATCGAGGAGGGACCAGAGGATGACATCTAGAGGGATAAATGCCGAGTACCACATTTTCATACGAAATTAATCATGCACACAGGATCGGTTGCTGTCTCACCTTCGACTGCGCGTAATCGGTATTTATGTCCTTCAGTCCCACCGACAAGTAAATTCCTTTGTATCGCAAGCATACAGCAAGGGGAAATGTTATCCCAAGGTAACCATGTGATAATTTGAGCGCCGCTGGACCACCCCACGATGGACGATGGGTAGAACGTGCAAACGCGCGGCCACTCTTATATGTCACATTATTGTTTTATCTGTTGGACTGGGGCCCCACAGCAGAACCGCGAGCGAAACGCCCATCCAGAACCTGTCACACTAACATAAACCCAGAATTTTAAATAACAAAGTATAAATAGGCAACGCTCTCCGTGCTAACCCGCTCATGACACTGAGAGGCACCAGTGGCAAGGAAAGTCAAAGCAAATTAATCTCGGGTTGCCGGTGTGATCCCCAGATTTTCAGGAATGTCCGTCATCAAATCGAGTGATGAGGCGCGATCCCCCACATAGCCATGAAACAAAAGTCCCATCAGGGTTATGCACGCTTGAGAGTGCTGTAGAAAGCGAAGCTCCTCGCTCGACTTTTCCCTTGCGATCTTCGCGTTGCCGGCGAAAGCAGCTATGCTCGGAGCCACAATTCATGGGGGAAAGCATGACCAGGATGTCTGATGCAGTAGTCTTAGCAGTGGGACAAGTTTCAGCTTTTCTTTCAGCGTCGTTCGGAGGCTGATTGGCAGCTCGCCAGGCGAGCGGTGATGGTTGCAACACCATGGAATGAGAACTGAAAAGGAGCCAGTCAGCGGCGAAATAAAGATGAAGCCGCGCAAGCAGTTCTTAGGCAGGATATGTCACTGGCGACCTCGAAAATCTGTCACTAGTGCATTCCGTGCGACAGGCACTGAATTCAACGCTCAAATACGAATTGCAAATGAATTGAAGGCAAATCTGTGATTCCATTCAACTTTTGAGTACCGCCACTAATTCCTTGACAATATTGACATTCATCGCGCCTAGTCGAATGGCGTCAAATCATCCGGCATAAAAGATGGGATATTTCTGCTCAAGTAAGCCCCCTGAGGCGCAAGACGTGTTGTATACGGCTTCAGCTGGATCTCACTAGTAACGGCAAAATTTACCTGCTTGAAGCCACATGAAGTCTTTTTCGACAGAACTGTGGTCTGGCAGAGAGAAGCTTATACTCGCGTTTGATATTGGCGCCACATACTCTGGGGTTGCGTACTCACATCTGTTCCCGTTGTATGTTAATCGCCGTAATCGCCTAACGAGCTGAGTCTCATCAAGCTTGGTAGTTCCCCTCAAGCTGTGTCATGCGTAAGCGGTTGGCCTGGCCAGCCGGTCCATCAGAGCGAAAATAAGGTTCCATCCCTGGCTTGGTACGATAGGCATGGCAATGTAGGGCCGTTCTACCATGATAGCTGCTTCGTCATTCACTTTCCTCGACCAGGCGAGATTATTTGGTGCAGAGGCTGCTACCCCTGATGCTGAAATCCGGGCGGCGAGAGGTGGTTGGAGCCTTGCAAAACACTTCAAGTTGCACCTACACCCTGGGGCGAAGAGTAACAGGCTGGACATTGCTTTAGACCGTACGTTGATACCTTTCCTACTTGTGACCTTAAACGAATTTATTCACCATGTCCCCACAGCTCTCCCATATGGTGTCACGTTGCTCAAGATATATACTGATTTTTTCACTTATTTATTCGATCATGCGAGACACGCATTCTGCGATCGAGTACCCGATGGGGAATTTGTCTGGAGCAGATGTAGTGAGAAGGTCGAAATAGTCATCACGCATCCAAACGGATGGGGCCCCACTGAACAGACATTCCTGCGAGATGCAGCCATCGCAGCGAAGCTTGTCAGGGAGGCTGATGCGGTGAAACGAACTTTTTTCGTATCTGAAGCTGAGGCAGGCGTGCATTACTGCATCTTTACCAATAACCTCGCACCTTGGCTCACTGTAAGCTGTTTCGAGTAGACAGATAAGCCACTGAATTGACGATCTCTGCGCCACAGAAAAATGCTCGGTTTGTTGTTTGTGATGCAGGTGAAATCATTTCGGACTCTCCTGTCTTGTGCTTACAATAGCGTCAGGTGGATCGACCGTGGACATTACCGTGTATTGTGTCACCGATACACACCCATACCTCAGACTCGAAGAAGTTAAGCCTTCGGCTTGTGTACAAGCAGGCGGTATCTTCGTCGATAAAGTTGCTGCGCAGTACTTCTTGCATCGCTTCGCAGCGAAACGAGCGAAACTTGATGAAAACGCACAAATAGAATTCGTCAAAGAAGCCGTCGAAGATTTTGAGGGGAACGCCAAGAGAGCTTTCAAGAACTCCGAAAATGGTGCGTATGTTCGGGTTGGCAGCACCCAAGTGACGATCGGGGCTGCAGGGGTAAGACGAGGTCGCATGGCTCTGGATGGGTGAGCAACGCCAATGTATAATAATCCCCCAAGCATCTCAGACTAGAACCCCCAAAGGCGCACGATTGAATCTTTCTTCACACCCTCTGTCAACAAGATCATCGCATCGCTTCGACTTCAGCTGAAAGGGACGGAATGTGGACACATCCTCCTTGTAGGCGGCTTCGGTGATAGTCAACACCTGGCGGAAAAACTCCAGGCCGAGTTCGACAGGAAGAGATGCCAGGTCGTACCAGCCAATGATTCAAAGTATGATTTCGCAATTCCCCTCACCTTTCGTGGTGTTGAAATCAGGTGCTTATTTCAAGGTCCAAAGCCGTATCGTATGGTGCCGTCATTTGGCGTGCAAAGTTGGCTGTTATCCGCCCGTGTAAATATGAATTTGGAGTGGTTATGGGTCGGACGTTCAACCCCAATGATCGGGCTCACAAAACACGCCAAATACGCCATTGCGCTGATGGAAAAGATTCCGTCGCAGGAGCCTGGGTTGCCCTAGTACGTCGGGTAAGTGAAACACTTTCCCCGGGTGTACAGCTGTACTTATTTACGACTTCCACCAGGGTCAAATCGTAAAGCAAGGAGAACGATGGCATAGGCATTTTCGTCTTTACTCTGACGTCCCTACCAGTAAAGTTGGTCGCCTTTCTGTGAACATATTAGCTTTCACTGCCACCGACCGACCCACTCCACGTTGGGCGGAGAGCGAGGATCGTAAGTGGCTGATCATCTTTTCGGTGCGATTCAGTGCAAATCACTCATTTCGGCGGTGCCGCAACCCTTTGTTTACAGGTAGGCTATTCAATGGCTTCGAATACGTGTGTACAATATCCGTTAATGTGCCGGATAACCTTCAGGATTGGAAACAACGACAAGGGGAGACCGGAGGTTACTGGACTTTTGATTACACCGTTAGCGTCATGTACTCTGACAATAAGGGTCTGAGGGCCTCCCTTGAATGGGATTGTGGAGGAGGAAGGAAGGTGAGTAGGTCCCCTCGTCTCTTGGCAGAAATGGTTGACAGAACGGAATGCAAAGGAGAGATCTCCCTCGGTCATTATACCAAACTCCCTTGCATAAATTTCTTGCCACATGCACGCTTGATCATAAGTGGATTAAATTAAGCAGTGGGCACGATAGGCTCTAAGCAAAGTTACACCATACATTCCCATAGCTATCCTGTGGTATACCAGTCCAACCCTGTCCTTGGTCGTGATCTAAACTATCAACATAGCCAATACCGTAACTATCCGCCGCGTTCACCTTGTTCGACGGGCATCTCCATTGCAGGAAACTAGGGCAAGCTCGCGCGACTTCGTGACACATTTCGACACACGGAAGAAGTTCAGTGAAGTTTTGTTCCAGTGGTAGAGTTAAGGCACGAGGTGAATTACCGGTGATAAGTGCGGGGGCAAGCGGTGGGGGGACCCCCCCGTTTCCTGATGGCTGTGTCGGCTGAGGAGGCTCACCACATCGAGGGAACGAGACGGCGCAGAGCCACGATCTGTATGCACGCTGACACGATGCACAGGTTTGAAGTGGGGAGTAAATGTCTCGTCCGCATGCGAAAGTGAGAAGAGATGTGGTGAAATTACTGAGCGATGATAAGAGAGGTGACGTTATGTTAGAGGGTACAGTGTCAGCAGCATATGATGTTGCGCCGGTTGGGGGCTGTGGAAGGGGGACGGCATACGTGACAGAGGGGCAGAAAGGCACGGAGTGGACCAGCGGACAACTAAAGTTCGCTATGGACGAAAGATGATCAGCGATGGATACGCCAAGAAAAAGAAAAATAGCCAACATGACTTCGTAACAAAGAAAAGAGGTCCGCTGAGTACTGAATTATTGGTGACAACATATGCAGTGTAGTTCGTGGACGGTGTCAATTTTTCAAACAGCCACTGGGTCCGATAATCAGTGTAATCTCGAAGAACAGTTGTCGTGTTGAGTGGATGGTCTCCAGACGAAAGTAGATTCCCAGGTACTTCAGTTATCCCACAGGCAGATTGACTGACTTGCGCTAGTGCCGGGGAGATATTAGCAGTTTGGAACACCAGCAATGTTTGAGGAGGGGGCTGTGTTGAATTGGATGAAGTGATGTTTGCAGGTGGAAGGACATATTTAGGATAAGTAGGCTCGTCAAATGGGATGGATTGAAATGGAGGGGAAAAAATAAGTGCTTGATTAGCAGTTGTATCTCCAAGGTGTGGAGGCCGAGTGTCGACGTCGAATATTTGCTCTTCGGTGAGGAATGTATCAGTCGAGGGGGGGGGATAGTTTTGGGACCGTGCTCACCCTCCGCAGAAATTCCAATTTGGAATAACCGAGTCTGATTCCCCGAACCACCCCTTCCCGCACGAGCAAGCAATGTAGCCGGTCCTGTTCCAGTCCACTGAGCGAGTCCACCTTTCAGTACCAGTTCCGCTCCAGAAGTCTCTGTCCCAGGTGGGGGAATATTTGTGCCATTATTCAGGAAAAATCGTGGGGGTGGTTGTGTAGATGTGCAGAGCACAACGCTTAAGTGAAGAGTGGACGAGGATGATGGTATAGCAAACACTGCTGGTGACTCGATGGAGGATACAGAAGCAGAAGTCTTAGATGGGATTGAAAGGGTAGTCTGCGAAAGACATGATAAAGGCGTAAGGGTCAGCCACAGGGCAAAAAGTGACAAAGACATCTCGGAGAGGGTAACTTCGAGGCGCTTAAAGATTGAACGCTTCGCAACACTGCCCTGTACAACCCAAGCACAGCCTGTCACTCGCCGCAAATTCACTTGTTGGGAGGGGCTGGAGGATGACGACGCTCTTATTGCGTGTCAGGTGTCCATTCTCCACAAATCTTCGTTGATCTGAGCGCCAAGCGTCGGTGCAGAAGACGTTACGTAATCAAATGCTTATGTAAGCGCCACAACTACAAGCCCTAATACTCAAGACCCAGCTCTCTGTTGGAAGATAGGGCGCTTCACCGCTCGCAGTTGTGGGAAGATTCCACTTGGACCTCTTATAGCGGTCGCTCATGTGTCTTTGGGATCGGGCGGAAAAGAGCTGGCATTGTGCCTGTGCTGTCGTAGATATGCTCCGGCAGCGTCAAGGATGGTGGTAGATTTCGTCCGCTCCTGACTGGATTTATGGCGGAAGTTTGTTGAGCGATGGTAACTCATCTCCGACAACCTGCTGCCACCCTTGCAGCTGATGTTGCCATGTATGTATTATTTTGTTTCGGGTAATAAGGTACCCATGCTACGCGTCTAATCAAGCAATTGCTGTTAGTCAGCCACACACAGACTCCTTAACATGCTTGTGGCACCTGTACCATGTCATCTATCTTCGTGCCCACAATCGCCCACCTCACAACTGTGGGGGCAGCGGTACTTGTTTCTAACCATAGGCCTGCACACCCCCGACGCTCTGGCACCAGATCGGCCAGCTATTCTGCAGATTTCATGTGTGCGCTGTGACGAAATCAGTGACGGGATATGGGCTGATACTTGTCGTGTCTACTAGAATTGTGGGGTGAGCTGACGACATTTTTAAGGCGCCATTTCAACTGTTGTTGGGACGCTCCGCCTTCAGGGATCCCGACTCACGTTCCGGGGTATGTTCCTTCCCCCGGGTGGGGAACTGTTCAATAGCCATTACAGAGGCTGAGTGCTGGAGTTGGATTTGCTTCTGACTGACTCATCCTCTGACTGGCATAGTATCTTTCATTCTGTTGATGATCGAGTTAGTCAACCATGCACTGCGGTAGTGCCTTCATCCCTTGGCTCGCATCTCTAGCCCAGGACTATTGTAAGATATGGTTGATTGGTTAGAATGCCCAAATTGCAAACTAACACCCACGGACGTCTGGTTCCTGAGATGGTGATGCCGCCTGAGGCCACATAGATATCCTGAAAGAATGTTCTATATCGTCCCACCGAATGGGATTGATTGAGCCAAAAACTGTAGAATAGTTTTGCAGTACAAAATGAACATGGTGTCAGTACATTGCACGAACTATCACTGTGTCCAAGAATGTGTGGCAAACGAAGATGGAAATAAATGGACACCAATAACATGAAGCAGAATGACTGATCCAGACGTGAACATTCTCTTGCCCTACGAAGTTGCCTTCCGCCTAAAGTTGAACCTTGAACCTTTTTCCTTCTCCCCGTGAAGAGGGGCAGATTTCCCCGCAGCCTTCAATTCTTGCTGGCGTTTCTGCTCTTCGTCCGCGGCGTTGCGGAAGGAACCAGCCTTCTTGATCGCTTCCATGCCATTTATAAAGCCCCTGTGGAGTGTTATTGGATTGCGAGTGTGTATTGATGTATCACCGTTCGTGGTTTATAAGGAAGGAAAATGGACATTAAAATCAGATGCGTCCGCGTTGAGGGCAAAGTGATCTCACCGTTGAGTGGCGTCCATATAGGATTCACGATCCATACGCTTGTCGGTTTTGATATCTGCATAGGGTCAGTGGAGTATCACAATCAGATGTCCAGTATACTTACGGATGCCGTTGTCAGTGACATGATACCCCTTAGCTTTCAGACTGCATCAATGTCAGCACGATCATCCCAATAGGAGTTGGGAGCCGAGAACACACTTCGCTTTTGTAGACCTGTTCGTCATGAATGTTGAGACACGTAAGGAGCACGTTACCATGCAGCGTGTAAACGTACTCTACTGTTTCTCGAATAGTGCGGACCAAGAACACCGCCCCAGCTGGACGCGTAAAATGCTCAGCTGCGATAACTCGAATCATGCCCATTGCTTACCTACTAAGCCAGTGACGAGGAGAATAGTCTGACCAAAAATCGCCCCCATTGCCTCAGTGCCAAGGCATAGATTTTCGCCAAACTTTTGTGCTTACAATGATAAGTTGTACATAATCAGTCCTACGACGAGCATCAGAAAGGCATAAGCGCTTGATCCTGAGTAGCCAAGCTCACCAGCTAGATTGGTGTTTTGCCATGAGGAAAATTTCGTTGCGGTGTGTCGAGCGGAGGATTAAGGCCCTCCATCAAATCGGGTTTCCAGGCACGTGTTCGGCCATCTCCATTGTTTATTTGAATTTCGAGACAGGCTTTTTCGGTGTGCCCAGTCTCGATGGGCAAGAACAGTAAGTAGACTGCCAACCCATGAGGATCACACGGAAAGCTAATACGAACCGACAGAAGCATCGAATGAGTCCATGGGTGCTCGATTGAATGGAGCGCCGTACAACAGTGAGCTCTGTAATGAACGGGGCCCAGTGCATTTTCTGAATTGCTCAACCTGCGTCTCTAAGAGCTAAAGAAAGACCCTGGGGTGCCTAGGCTTCCTGCCATAAAGGATAAGAAGGTATGCTGATGCATTTGTGAGCCTCGCGTTACCAACTCATTGTGGCACCATAGCACAGCCGTCTTGCTCACTTGTCATCCCCGACCAGAGTCACTCCATTAGCTGGGGCGACTATACAGTCGCTGGCACAAACTACGGTTGCAGTTGACGAAGTTGACGATACACATGAGGCCGCTCAATCACAGATAGCGCGTGATGCTACTGTGGCTGCGCATGCTCATCAATTCAGGAAAGTCCTGGAGTTATCAGATGTCATCATACAGGTGCGTTCAGATTTTTCTAGGAACGTATGTCATAATGACTTTTGTAGGTCTTGGATGCCAGGGATCCGATGGGATGCCGGAGTCGGATAGTGGAGGACGAGGTCCGTAAAGCGCGAGGGGACAAGATGCTGGTTCTTGCTCTCAACAAGACAGGCGTGTGATTTTCGTACACTCGCCTTCGCACACCCCTCCAGCCTTACTTACTTCCTTCCGTTTCCTAGATCTTGTGCCTAAAGAAAATGTTCTTGCCTGGCTGCGCTACCTTCGTCATGACTACCCCACCGTCCCACTCAAATCCACCCCTTCTGCAACCCGCCAGTCTCGTGCTCTCTCGGCTGCGAAAGGTCAGAACAAAGGCGGTGCCCCTCATCTTCTCACTCTTCTCAAGTCTTACCGCCGAGCACACACATCCTTAACCGTTGGTGTTGTTGGCGCCCCGAATGTGGGCAAATCTTCGTTAATCAACATGCTCTCCAGATTGAGAGCAGGGAGCAAGTCAGGGGATGTAGTCACAGTGGGTGCAAAGCCTGGCCAGACTAAAGACATCAAGGCAGTTGGGCTAGAGAAAGGTCTGAAAGTGCTCGATATGCCTGGGATTGTATGGGGGGACTTCCTTGGGGACGTGGATGAGAATGGACAACGAGCCGGCAGCCTGAATATGCTCGGTGTGGAGTTTCTGGAGGATCCCATCATGGCGGGTTCGTTTAATTTGTTATTATGGTGTCATCTCACATCTCAATTATCCTTGACTTCAAATCTAGTCGAGTCGATAGTCCAAAGAGTGCCAGGCGAGACCCTTCAGCAGATCTATGACGTGCCTCAATTCTCCGATGCAACCCAGTTTCTAACGATGATTGCCCTTTTGCGTGGCAGGCTCGGAAAGGTGATGAAGTAACAATCCTGCGACGTAGAATGATGATTCCTTATATCTCTGGTGAAATAGGGTGGTGTACCCGATCAAGAAACTGCTGCCCGTTCAGTCCTCAACGATTGGAACTCGGGCGCCATTCCGTATCACACCGAACCACCCAAATTCCATCCATCCTCCGTACCTTCCATTCCAAGCGGTGAGGGGTCGTTGCCCCTTGCTCCATCGTCTACCAATGAAGACACCGCAATGATCGATCAGGGTGCCAAGGAGCCCGAGGAAGCTTCCGATAGTGTGATGACCACTGCTGCGGACATTGGCTCCGCTCAATTTGTATCCAAATTCAGTAAACCTTTCGATCTGGAGGGACTATTCTCCCTCACGGATAAAGCAGTACTGGATGACCAGGATGGAGATGAGGATGAGGGAATGAAAATAGACGACGCCACTGGGTTCATCCCTGATGAAGAGGCGACAGACATCGCCACCACGACACATGTCGAACCCGCACCATTACGGGCAAAGAACTTGCTAAAAAGAGCGCACTCACCCACTCCTTCCGTGGCCTCGCTTAGTACGATTCCTATCTCGAATGCTGGATCCATATCGTCAAAGGATACTCGGGGCGTTAAACAGCCAAAGCCAAAACGAGCCCGCTACAATCCAAATGCTCCCATTGTATTTGATCTAGTGGGAACGGCAGCCATGGTTTCATCGACGAAGAAACGTCGTGTGGAATTGAAAATGCGACAGAAGGAGGCATTGGAAAAAAATAGCGCTGCTTTACCATCTCTCGACAATACCTTCGTTCTCAAAACTGGAACATTTTTTGATCCTTTATCTATACCACTTCCTGGTGAAGATGAAGATGAAGATCTGTAATGCATAGACGTATCTTCTCTATTTCAAAAGGAGCGCCCATGTGATACGCGGACATCTGATAATAATTAGTCGAATTCCGGTGAATTATTTCTACAAGCGTGAAGAATGAATTACTGGAGCATCTCACTAACGCACTCCCAGACCCCCTTCAGGTTTTCCTTCCAGAGCGTAACTTTGCCATCGCCACAGCTGACAGCAAGGATGTTACCTGCCAAGCTCCACGACACGCGCCAGACCACATCAGGGAATTTGGGTGGCGTGCCGCTTGGCACACCTGCTGGGCTGGGATCGAGATAAGTCTTGTCCCAAGCCGCATTCGGGCTATCTTTCGTCCAGATAATCACGGTTTTGTCCTGTAAAAGAATACCAAACCAGCTAAGAACGGTGAAATTGGATCTCGGATTTCATACAAACCTGAGAAGCAGTGGCAATATAGGAACGAGGCAACCCAATGTTTGGAGCCCATGCCACGTCCCTTACCCAGTCAGTGTGCCCATCCAGCTGTTCCTCCTCAATCCATGCCTGTGTGTCTTCGCGAAATGTCCAGATTCTAACTAGGTTGTCGCATCCTGCGCTGGCAAAGCGTTTCACAGGTGGTGGAGCAGATAACTGTTGCGAGGATTGCTGTTGGCCTTGAGCAGGTGCAGAAGGTGTAATGAGGGAACCAGGAAGAATGGCAGGGGCCCAAGAGACTGCGTTGCATCCAATTGCGTGTCCATTGAAAATGTCAGCTCCCCATGTTCCATCGTCTACGATGGACAGTTCAACGACCCTTACAAGTCAGAGAATGGAGACAAATTGGCTTACTTTTGAAAGCGAGGACGGATAACTTTCCGTCGGATGATGCGCATGCAACAATAGCGCCGAGCTCGTGGGGAGCCCATGAAACAGAATTCACTAGAGTCAGGTGTCAGAAGGAGGGAATTGGGCGTCAATCTCATTCACGTAGATTATACAGACCTGACGCAGTGTGTAGCGAGTGCTCTTTCACACGAGTCCATGTGGCCTGGTTAGAGCCTTGAGTCGCAACTTGTTCCTTCCAAATCAAGACGCGGCCATCGTATGAACATGAAGCGAGGATGTGACCAAATTTTGGATGTGCCCACGCGACTTGCCAGACGGGCCCATTATGCCTATTTTTGTGTGGAAAATATGCACAAGGGTCAGCAAAACTGTTCAAGTCCAACGCCTCAAAAGCATATACCCTTTAAGCACTTGGCCTCCAGTTTGCCTTTGAGGTTCACCTTCAATGACATCAAAAATTTTGATTGTTCTGTCTGACGAGCAAGTAGCTAGTCGTTTCCCATAATAATCCAGCTGGGCATCATGCTGGAGGTAATGATAAATGCGCATGTGCCCAGAGGTAGGGTTTGAAAGGTGAACTTACGATCATATCATCATGCCCAGTTTCTATCGGCGTCGATTCTGGTGGTCGTACAGCCTTTCATCGGACATTTCAAGCAAACGTGAGCCACTAAGCATGCCAATATCGGGCTAGTCGCCATACCATTAGAGGGTTTTGTCGACGACAGCTCCCAATATTGATGAAGGGAGCGGACACGTGACAGCGCTTCCAGAATCGGCTCCGTCCCGCTAGCTAGCCCATCCCGTAGGAATTTGCGTGTTGAGAGATCAGGCAGGACTCCAGTAGACAGGACCCCAGCCTCTATGGCTTCGTGGTATTGCATACCTCTGTCCTCATTCAGACTCTGGTGATCTGCTCGGGTGTCAGCTTCAGTCTGATGTCCTATTCTTACTATAGAGGCTGGTCGCCTGCCTATATAATCCAAGTATTCATTGAGCCACAAGGCTCAATGAAGGCGGATGGTCCGGCTTGTCGCGTGGCCTCCGCTCGGCGCTGGGGTAGTCACATCCACCGAAAAAAGAAAACCTCAAAGGCGCTTGCCACCCGAGAATGCGGGAGCAATAAGTGAAGTCTCCTGAAAATTCTTGAGGCTCTTTGGGTCGGGATGATTCCTCGGCACCAAAGAACTCCCGGACCAACCTTGGGAATGCGTGCGATCATTCAATTTAGAAGCTTCTTAGTGCGGTAGTATCGCGACGTCCCTGGGTCTCCATAGCACGAGTACAATGTTCTAAATCGGCGTATTGACACTGTTGGATGGAACGGTCTGAATCCCCATTTCGCAAATGGAAGTGGCGACAACAAGAGTGCAGTTCCTCGACGTATGTACAATTGGGGCCAAACACGATGCCAAGTATTTCAATCAATTGATTTTCATTGCAAAGATTCATAAGAGGCCATCCCCATCGTATTTTGCATGCAAAAACTCGTAAAGCTAGTAATTTGATTGTAATTGCGAGGATTTCTACTACAGATTAGCAGCCGAAGGGTTGGCATTGGGAGTGCCCAATATACTCTTCAAGAAAGCATCCGAGTTGGGTTCACGTCCCAAGAAAGCCTGGAAACGCCGAGCATTAAATGCAGTTCCGAGAGAAACTGCTGGACCAATTGACCAACCTTGAGTGAATCCATCTCATCTCGGCTGCCACCAGGAAGTAGTATCTCATGTCGATACCTTTTGCCTGTTTGTTGATGTAAGCACAAAATTCGACCCTAGTGTCTTGTGAAAGACGTACCAGACTCGGCACTCATCGGATCCTTCTTGAACACAGTCTCATACATATCAGCGGAGAATACCTGAGAGTACAAGTATCCGTAGTATCCGGCATCGTATCCTACAAAAAACTAGGCTTCAAAGAAGGTGATGGGGGGGGGAAACGAATACGACCAACCTCCAGTGATATGCCCAAATGAGCCCTGGCCAGGAGTAATTTTATCGCCCGTCTTGACAAGCGACACCTGTTCCCGAAGGTCACACCAGAACTTACTGTAGTCTTGTATCTCTGAGCGGGACCCTGAGTCAAAACACTGCAAGACGAGAGAGCAATCAACAGTGAATTGGAAACTCACCCCCTGTGGTGTCGGTGTGGACTTTGATATCGAACGTGCCGAAGAACAATTGTCGTAATGAGAACAGTCCGATATTGACATAACGGCTGAAGAGCGCGGAATGATGAGGCAACGTGTTGAATCGAGAAGGGATGAACTAACCTTTTGATAAGCTTCTCGATTAGGTCATCCGGTAATGGCTGCTTAGTCTCGTAGTGGCTGGAGACACGCCTAAGAACCGAAGGCTCCCAACACCAATTCTCCAACATCTGTGATGGAGCCTCGACGAAATCTCTCGCGACGCTGCAGGAATGATTGAGATCATTCTCATTCAGGTTGAGCTGTAGAGTCCCAGGACCTACCTTGTTCCATGGAATCGACCAAATGTAGTACGACTGAGCAAGCCATGGAATACATGACCCATTTCATGGAAATACGTCACCACATCGTCATGTCGCATCAAGGCAGGACGGCTAGGAGTCGGTTTAGCAAGATTAGCAACCATGCAAGCGACAGGATATTGGCGTAAGCCATCTTGCTTCAAAAAGCCTTGGATAAGTCCCCATACTGCAGCGTGACTATACTTATTCTCTACGATGGAAATAAAGCAGTTCGAGGAAAATCTGGGTGATCCTGTGGTATAACTTACCTCGAGGATACAAATCAAGGTAAACATCGCCCAAAAAGTCCTTCTCTGTTGTTGCATCAGCATCCCAAACCTCAAAGTGCTGGACATCTGTAATTCAATTTGATAAGAATGGCTAAGTCCTAGCTGACGCAACGATGGAAGAACCCTACCAGGATGCCAAGTTCCAACCTTCTCAGGGCTTACTCGAAACTTAACACCAAGCAATTCCTGGTAGATTTCGAGGATGGCGGGGACGACAACTTCGACCGGGAAATACTCCTTGATAAAATTATCATCCAAATCCAAGAATTTCTCAATAAACGCATTATCGTAGTAGCTGAAGGGGGGCGGGTGAGCCACTTCAGAAAGATCGGGGGAATAATGCCCACCGGTAATCCCTATGCAAAAGTGCATGTTATAGAACTGCATCGTAAACTCATCCTTTCTGCTTACCAAATGTAGAACTCGTTGTCAAAAGGGTATCCGTATCTCTCGTGCTGCTCCTTCTTGATCTTAAGAAGCTCATCGCGTTCTGCAGTATGCTTCAGCAACATATCAGTGGCTACGATAGGCTCCGACTACCTTTGAGACCAATCGGAGTCAGTTTCTTGCGGAGATCCGCCAAAAACTAGACAGGGGAACAAAAGCCGGATCAACAAACAATTTGGACTAAACAAATGTTCTCGCCTACTTCTTCGACGGCCTTTCCAGTCTTGATCATTTTATCTTCCTCGACATAATCCGCCCACGTTTTATAGTTCATTAACTTAGCGAGCCTTCGGCGGAGATCAATTGCCTTGGTCAGTAGTGGCACGTTGATCGCAAGCTTGCTTTCAGAGGCTTGGAGTATTTCTTTACGCGTTTCTGGGTCTTGTGCGTGCTTTAGCTAGCGGAGATCAGGAGAGTACCCGCTAAGCTCCTGTCTGGGTCATTCAGGGGGTCACAACTTACGACGGGCATCAGATCGGGAGTCTTGAATGTTACGACATACTCATCATCCTTCTTTCCATAACCGTTGATCACATCCTCCGGTACTCCCTTGAGTTTCCTTGAGGTATTTTAACGAAATTTGTGTTCTCAGTTGCCAATATGATGCTCACTCTTTCGTGAATGTGACAGTGCCTTTCTCCTCATTGAAATTTTTCTGTCATGCGTGTACTCCACGTGAATACGCAGAATGACACTGCAAAAAAGAGGCGCGACCCACCGAAAATTCGGTGCACGTATTCGACAACTCTTTCTTAAGCTAGCATAGGAGGAAGAAATCAGTCTAAGATTTCAAAACGAGCGAGAGACAGGAAAGGCATTAGGGGTACGGACATTGAAAGATCACTCACCGTGGCAACCTGATTCCTTGTTTCCTCGGGGAGGTCGAGCCCATTTCTCTTGCCATCTAGGAGTAGCTTCTCCACCAAACGGTTCTCCTCAGGTGCAAGCTTCAACTCCTCTTTGTCAATGTTCGCCTTAGCGGCTTTAAGAGCCTCGAACACATCAATTCGCATTGATGCCTCAATGCCATATTCATTCAGGCGTTGCTCGGCGGTATTGGCGGCATTGCGGAGCTCATCTTGAGTAGAAACGTACTGGTAGAACGTAAGAGGGCCAGTAGTGTTTTCGAGCTCAGATTCTTCCTTGGCGAGTTCAAGGAAGACATTTTCGAAGGTGCACGAGGAACGAGGTAGGGCGGCGATCTTATCACGAATCGCGCGAGATCTTTCGATAGCTAATGTGGTTGTTTCCGAGATAGCTGTAGCGCTATGATCCCACTTGAGGGGGACGCGTGGCGCTTTCGGTTTGGCACCGAGTTGGGTCAGGTCCGTATTAGACATGAGGAAGGAGGTCAACGGATTGCTGTGCAAGAATCGAGCACAAGAGACAAAATTGGTGTTACCGTAGAGTGAGTACGAGAGTACGCCAAAGCAAACTGCGGAGAGCGCCGCAACCGGTCTAATAGTGCCTCCCCTGCGAATATTCTTATATGCGCCAAGCGGCGAGGTTAAACCAATGCTTCCCAGCAGCCCTCTTTGGGCCAGAGCCATGGCCAATTTGCTTCCGAGAATACATGGGCATGCAAGCGCCCGAGTCCCATGCGTATAGAACTTGGAGATGGCACGAGATCTTTCGCTTCATGGTTTTGGGGGACATTGGGCTTATCCTCCTCTGTGACTCGACCATGATTGGCCACATTGTGCATTCACCGGGCCGTCCAGTACCCGTACCGGCGACGTGGAAGTAATGTATGTATTTAGTGTGGCCGATAGCTTCAACACTATAAAGGAAATAAAGGATTTACATACACTCTCCTATTGCCAATAGGGTCACAGTACTCCCGGTCGGTCCAGTCGGAGCAACTGTCCCTTTTGGCAACAGGACTGCAACGTGCGCATCTGGTCTACTTTAGTAGAGGCTGGGATCCCTGCCTACGCATCTGGGGGATTTATTGACATCGATGGTTATGGCCTGAAGAGACTGTAACGATTCGAACTCGCCTGACCATCGCCCTGAGTAAGGGTCGTCAGCTGGCTTTCGAACATGTTCTTGGGATGCAAGGCCCCCACACGAGGATTCCATCACCTGAACAAAAATCCATCCTCCCCTTTCGCTCGACCCAACCCTAGTCACCATGCTGTGATCTGCACTAGATACGTTGGTTGGTCTATCCATGCAACTGAGTGCCAGGGCTAAACACTCAACGATCCCTCTAATCCTGGGCGCCAAGCGTCGGTCATTTCTACATTTATGAAATGCAAAGCGAATGATTCGGGGAGTCCAAGTATGACTGGGGCAACCAAGAAATTCTGCCAGAGCATGACGACCAGTGCAAGACCCAGTCTCAACGGCACCCTGATTTCGGGCTACCGCAAGGGTTACACCATCAACACCTGACCCATCATCCATGATAGGCTTTCTCCTATCCATAAGAAACATCCTCTGCCTGAAAAGGGGCCCAGGCTTGACTGGGGGAGTTTCACTGTTCGAGACTCAATCAAATTCGTCTCCCCATGAATTTGCGCTCGATATGGCCATGCTGTTACCTGCCCTGCCCGAAAGACTTTGGTCCGCTCATGCATGTGCATGAGTGGTTCCTTCCATCGGTCGAGTTAGACGAGCCGATGTTAGGTGCCAGAGGTCAATTTTGCCTCCCCAGACGAATTTGGTTGTGCCCAATCTCCATAACTTATCTCATATCATATGAATCCGAATCAATGAAACAGAAGTGTTGGGTGCTAAAAGAGAACGTGGATAATGCGTAGTATACAGTGCAAGAATGAGATCAACGGAGAGTACATGGCTAGGCATGTCGTGTATCATTAATAATATGGCGCTATAAAATCGTGGAAGCTTGCAGATATCCCTCTAATCGCAGCATATGGCTTTAGCTACGCAGGTAACACATCTTTCGGACCGTCCACACCGACTTCTGGTAAAGGTCGAGGTACAAACTCCAAGTTCATTATTATGAGTGGCCAAACTACCGGAAAAGGTAAGTTGTCAAATACACTGATGGGATACCGATGGCTAACCTTCCTCTGTTTGCATTCATATTTCAATGAAATCCAATTGGCAGGATAAGAGGACGGAACGAGATCGAAGATGGGAAGAACTACACATACCGAAGCCAGGGTGTCTACCTAGACGAACTTGCCGGAATACGTCCCTCATCGCCTCGCTGGATTTGATCTCGGACCAGTTTGCGAGGAAAAAGTCCACTTGTACCTGAAACGAACGATATTTGAAAACGGATTTGCAAGCAGGAGTAAAGGCAATCACAGTACCTTCCGTACGTCCTCGAATGCAGCTGAAAATGAGGAGAAGATTTCGAAGGATATGTTGTTGACAGAGAGGCTCTTGACGATGTGCTGTGGGGGGAGAGTCAATGAGATTCCGGCATTTGGAGACGAGAACATGACCGACCTGGAATGCACGAGCCTTCAACTCCGTCAAGCCAAGCTCTGCGGGACTCTCAGCGACAGTCAAATGACCTGTATCGAAATACACCTACTGTCCGCTAATCTATAACAAGCCTTGGCCGAGCAAGGGCGCGGTCTTCCCGGATTTGTGGCAGCCCAACTCCGGATCCACTCTTTCCTAGAACGATGGGGACTCTCAAAACCCTCGCCACCAACCCCAACGCCTTGCCTGCGGCTAGAGGTCTGCGAGCCGTAAAGTGGATATCGAGAATTTGTTTGAGAGGATACAATTTGTTGATGATGGGATTGTGAGACGCCATACAGGGGCAAGATTGGCTGGGACTGGAAGTAGGCAGGCAAATGTTGTTGATACGGAGATCCGGAGGATGAGGATCGCACAGTGTCTGGGAGGTTCTGTAACCCTGTTGGGGACGCACTCGTGGACTTTGAGGTGAAGTCAGATGTGAGAGGGGAGAAGACTATGGAGTCGGTGTACAACTAAAGGGAAGTCAGCTATTAAAGGGAAATGGGCCAAAAGAAATGCTCACATAGTAAAGAACAGCATAATAAGTCGCATATTCACATTCCTTGACGATGACCTTTGTCTTCTTCGGGCCTGGAATGATTGCTTCATCCACAATTGGTCTTGGATGAGGGGAATGACCACCTGATCTATTTCGGGGAGCAAACCCAGAGCTTCTTTTTAAATCGTCCGCATATCTTCCGCTTCGTTGCGAGGCCGACAGATCCCCAGCACTCAAGGCTCTCCGATTAGTTGCGCCAATGACTTGGGTTTCCCGATGTGACGCTCCAGAAGCCGGATCGATTGGACGCGCTGATGGCTCCGAATACGTATCTTCTTTCCCAATTATGTGGATATCTCCATCTTCAGATGGGGAGATGATACTTCTGGTGCTGAGAGTAGTATTGTCTTCTGTATCTGATACGCTTCGGCGGCCTCTTACGGTCTCAGAGGTCGTAAAGTCAGACACATCATCACGGGTATCGGAGAGGTCTTGATTCTCCATCGTGCCTCTGCGCGATTGCGGTCGTTCCTCTTGAAGTCGTGGTGAGATCGGTGGAAGGTTCGATAGGGAAGGTGATTGAGTATACGAGGGAAGGATACCGTCGGTGGTAGATCCTATAGAATTTCGGAATGATTCCATCGTAAGGTTTCGATCACGGGGTAGGCGAGGGTGAGCCGAAGATGAGTCAGGAGCAACACTTGTCGGTACAAATGACTGTGAGAACGAGCGTGTGTGGTGGCGAAAGTGAGATTCCGTCGTTGAAATCGGGAAATGAGTGTTCGACGGCGTTTGAGGGTCGGGCGATTCCTCATCTACGTCAGCTATCACAGCTTCCTGGTGGTTTGATGGTGGATCGTGGTCTCCTGATGCATCGAATTCCTCGTCCGAAGAGTCCTCATCCGAATCCTCGAATGGATCTTGTGACCAATAGTCAGTGTAGCCGTCATAGTCATCTTCTTGGTTATCTTCATGATCATAGCCGTAGTCTCCAGAGGCCACTGAAAGTGATATGGAGTCTGCCCCTCGATAAGAACGTCTATACGCGCCGTTGGATATTTTTCCGGCATTGTGACTATCAGTTATACCTTCAGCAAAGCCGGAAGAAAACACTTCGAGATTGGCAATGAGATGGAGCCATCGGAAATCAGATCACACATACTAGTATGAAAATAGTCAACTCTTTGGAGTATCTTTCTGGCCGCGTAGATAGTCTTGGGCTTTCCCACCTTCCCCCTAACACCTCTCCGCTTTTTCGCCGGCAAAACGAAACACACATCAGAATACGTAGGATCATCTAACATATCCCCAACGGCGTCCAGGAGTCCTCGCGGCACTGTCCTGACGGGGGTAGGGGACACAGCACTTGGGGCAGCAGATGCAGATGTGATGTTGCATATGACAAGGAACGCATCAACATGTCGAACGGTATTAGGAGTGTAGAAGACTGCGTCTCGTTTAGCAAATTGCGCCCAGCCCCAATTGGCTGTCTTGTATGAAAAGGAGTGATCACAGGCTTCTTTAGGGGATGTAAGAGCCCCGCGATTTACACTGAGCAACAAAAAAACGGTAAACGATGAGTCTTGATGACGCAGACTTGATAGCAGACCGACTTTCGAATTTCAAAGCTGAACTTGAAGAGTCCTTCCCGAATCCACCTGAGGAAATGGTTAAGACACGCAAACGAAGAGATATAAGGGGGAGGATCAACTTGCTTTCCGTTTACAGAGCGTTCTTTTTCGTCTTCCGCAGGTTCACAGGATAAGTAAAGTGAAACATAATTCCCTCCCTCATGCCCACTGAGAACGGGAAGCACATGATGAGATTGCTACTAGACAAATATAAACGTACACACCTGTTCGCGTAGAACAGAACCTGCCAACGCCTAAGCAGCACAAATCCCATGAGGAACACGTGTAAAAGTGCAAACACGTTCCGATCCATAGGAGACGTACCCTCCTCCAAACTTGACACTCTTCGTTACTTTACTCTTCATTTCGCCCTTACTCGAATCGAAGAGCTGCTTCAATCCGCGAAGAGTCCATTCCAACGTTACGGTCGTGCTTTCCGTGTATTCAATCGCGTCTCCCACATTCAGAGAGATGGAGTTCGAGTTCGATGCCATCCAAGGAGTTCGCACCTAACCCAAAAACAAGGTTTACGGGTGAATGAGCAATTTATCTGGAGAAACCTTGACGTGCTAGTAGACAACTAACAGAGTTCCGTTGTTGAGGTACTGCAACGAGGCAGAAGAGCTGCTCACGACCGAGGCTTTATTAATGGTCTGGAACTGAATAAGTGGTGGCAGTGTGACGCTTCTCGTTCAATCGAACCGCCCCCCTAATTAGTAATGGGAACAAGAGACCAAACTCGGCGATCCATATGGCCAATTGTGATGTGTACAGCGTTTGCGGGAGAGGCATTGGTAAATGTGAGCCGTTGTTCGCCTCACCTTTCGACCTTCGCTTCTGCCCAGACGACGATAACGCCTTCTCCTGAGTCGCCAAAGCGAGCACTCAGGGGGGTAGCGGAAAAATAGCACGTCTATCTACCGGCGACAGATGGAGAAGGCACCACGTTTCTTCAATCGGACAGGAGAGATGCGTGTTGAAGGCCGCTAGCGACGAGCGCTCATGAAACAGTGCGGTTATCGTCACTTTTGCTACCCCTATACGGCGTACCCAATGAGTGGGATCATATTATTCTCAGCTCGGCAGAGGTTCACCATTTGAGATATGTCAGGGGTTTTCACCCCGGGTTCCCTCCACATGCCCAGGTATCCAGTCCGCTGTTGCCCCACGCGGCTACTCCTAATGGCGTGAATTAACTTCCGATGGATTCGCTTTAAACTCCGGTTGCACACAAGGGCTCTCTAACGTGCTGCCATAATGTTAATGAGGGTGTTTCTCGTGAAAACATGGGCATTCATCCTATATGCAAACCTTGGTTCTTGTCTTGCAACTTGCGCGTTCTTACAGTCCAAGTAGTTGTACATACTAATTTGGGGCAATCTGTTTCCTAATGCGTGATAGGGGACAAAGTCAATGCGCCGGTATAACGTACGTGTGTTCTTAGCTAACGCCGGCTTGCAAGTCTCCTCCCAATGGCTCCGCTTCAGTTGGACACCGCTGTCGGCTCAAGGACAACCTCTGCGGGCTTGATGGGGTCGCGCGAACCAATTGCACGGACCAGAGCAGTACCAAATAGCCCGCATGCCCACAATGACTCAAGAAATGCCCATATTACAGTCTATGTAGTATGCTCTAAATTGCAAATCCATATTCTAATTTGGGAGGCGGTCACAGCGAGATATATCGTCTGAGGCGCGACCGGTATGCAATCTTGTAGCTGATTACCTGGAACTGGAACATTGAGGTGAGCATTGCATGGGAGGGTGGCGCACGGAGATATGAGACCACGGAAACGAATTCCGTGGAAGAATACATATTTGATCGCTCTGAGGTAATAAACGCTATCATCATCTTGTTACCTAAATGGTCTCGCTTAGTGGCATGCAAGACGCTCTATTGTGTTCCTTAATGCATGATTGGACTACATAAAACGGGCTTGCCCGCGTCCAAGCGTGCCCGTCCCCGTCCGATGAGCTCCGCAGCAGATTCCTCGCTAGATTATACACGCCCTGCCGTCTGGCGCTGACAATTGCTTCCATCTCGACACAAACCGGCCGGAGACGCTGCATGAAGCTTCTAGGATTCAATACACGCAAGCATTACCGTTGGCCACCGATGCGATGGCCATCTGTTAACGTCTGAACCGATCCTTGCCCGAGTTGAGGCTAAATCCAACAACCACAAACACCAAGAAAATAACAAACTAATCCCCGGCCCTCCCCGCCGCCCTGACAATTTCTTGTATGCCATGTCTGATACAAGTTGCCTTATCGGCTATATATCTTGTCGTTATTATATTGAGGTGTCAAGCAACCGCAGTCATCAAGGGTCATGCAGCATCTCGACTTAGGAAGTGTATGAGTATTACCACTGGAGGACACACGAAAAGCCATCCTATGTTCTGCAAGCTGAACATCCGGAAAGATAAGGGAGGAGTGACAGGTTCTTTAGTTAATTGCTGTATTGTGACTAGGGATGTCTGCTGTCTCAGCGGAGCTGGATCAGGTGAATGAATTAGCTGGTATATTTTTTTTCCCTTTCACGTCTAGCTGGGCCCAGTCACAAGGCTTTCGCGCGTATAAAGTCCTTTCATGCACAAGAGTGAGAAGCTTGCCCACTTGAAATACCACCTATCATAACGTTGCAGCATTTCTGACATAGTTACGCGGTACAACGCCCCACAGTATTAGTAGCTAGGGTTGCGCGCATACATATTTTTGGTTCAATGCACTGTAAAATGAAAACAGAAGTCGAGAAGGATGAGTGACTGATATCAACTACATATGATTGGGGCATTCAATTTTCCCTGGACCAGGAATCGAGTTTCATCTTTTGCTAGCCTGAGGGAGTTAATAAACCAAATCGATCGTCATATCAGGCTTCTCCATTGCGCGTACGATGCATGTTCTGTTTGATGGGAAGGCACCCCAGTGGGAGAACAAGTTCACATATATATATATAGATTAACCAGCAGGTACGTTTTAACAGGACTCTTCTTGTTGCAGAGGAATGAACTACCCGGAGCTTGATGGTTCACAATATTGCAAACAAGTCGTACCCTCTTCCAGCGTCAAAGGAGTGGGTGGTCGAGGGAAATATATGGATTCAAGGGAGAGATAGTCGTAAGGTGGCACGACATTGGTGTTATTAAAACTCGAAATTTGGTGCATGAAATTGAGCGATCAACTTGATTAACCAGACGCGAAGGCATTATACCCTCATCATAAGCGTCAAAGTGCCTGCCTCTAGGAGAGAATTAAATCGGATGGTATGCATGAAGGGATGAATATACCAGAAATGGGTTTGGGAAGATTGAGCAGCGGAAGAAATAAGAGTGGAAAGAATGGAAGGAGATGCGAGAAGCACCCAACCCAGACCCTATACATAGAAGGTTTCATCCTTCGCGATAATATTATTCACATGCTATCACAAGTTGGCGATTCAGGACGACAAGTTGACTAAGTAGCATGGCAAAGGTCGGAGGCAGCTCATCAAGCAAAAGGACGAGCTTCATCAAGGATTCCGAGCGCTTCTGTGTCGCCACACTCATCTAATCCATCCAGGACGATTACAAGGATAGGATATCCCAGAGTTCACGCATTGGATCGATGATCCGAATTTTCATCTCTTTCTCTGCAACGGGACCCGGAATACTGTTTCATGAAGCGGACTGCAGCGGAAGCCGCCTAGCAAAGTAAGCTCTTGTACTCAGCATCGAACGCTGCCAGCTGTAGAGCAAGGATAGAGAGAAAGTGCTCTATCGAATCAAGACCCATTATTGATTAGTGCTTGTCCCAGAAGAAAACACGCAGCGAGGACATGTTGGGGCGTCAAGAATAGAGGGTACACATAGATATCGCAGTCTTCCCAGTCCCGGGTGAACCACGCAACGAATCGCCTGTTAGGTGATTGAGAATTGAGCTGCAAGTCTCGACCTGTGTATATTCCATCGGCTTTGAGAGCACGTCCAAAAAACGGCAATGTGCTAAAGCTGAGTCTGGAATCAATTCAAGCAAACAGAACGAACCGCGAAACGTGAGGGCGCACTAGTGATATAGAAGCCTTCACATCGCTTTATTTTCCGAGTAAAACTTTGAGATTATTTACATAAGAGAGTGGCCGAGGGATCGAGCACAATTCACATACGAGTGGAAGTCTTTCACCAGGAGAATTCCTTCAGGCGGAACTTGACTCGTTTGGCTGGCCGTCCACATTTGAAGCGGCTGCAGGGTGGTCCCGTACGTAAGCTCTTTGGACTTCCTCATTCAATCCTTTGAGATTTGTGTCGTTTGTGTTCGAAAGTCTGTATCGGTGTCAGGCACGGGGGCATGAGCCTATCGATCGTAAAAATGGAGGGATGGTTGCCGACCTCGTAAATGTGTAGCCACGTCACTAGAAATTTCGGGATTTTGGGATCGGGGGGAAAAACTTGAGAACAAAGGCCGCGGTCATTGGAGCGTTGGTATTATAGATTGTTTTGTTTCGATCACGGTCCGAACTCATTCGTAGGCTCCAAGGGAAGGAGAGTAATACCTTTGCCTTTGAGGAATACCTTCAAGCGATGAATGGCAGATGTGTTTAGCGAAGCACGAGGATCGACGTCTGATTCAGGGGCTCGGAGGAGGGAGATGAGGAGGGTTGGGCGAAGGCTGGAAGGACGTACTTGGGTTGGATGATTTGAGCTCTGGTGTGCCTGGTCATTCGCGACTTGCTTGGGCTTAGTCTTCTGCCGGTCCTCTGAGCCAAACGGTGTAAGGTGGACAGTGGTTTCTTCGAATCGGATGAGCGGTCAGATAGAGTGATACGAGAAGGCGGTAGGTTTAAATAACAGGCAATCCTGCCAGGACCCCATGTTGATCGCGGAGGACATCGCTGAGCTCTTGGGCTTGCTAGGAATGTGAAGGATTTGACAGAACAAGAATGCACTGAAAATATTTGAAAACAGCCAGCGGTAAGATTACAGTAATACCTTGTAAAGTGGCCTGGAAAGTTTAGAGTATCAGGCTTAAACTAGTGTGTATGTACGAAAGTTGATGTTGTCCATTCGGTTGTTGGTGTCAATCATTTAGGGAAAACTACCAGTGCTAACGGTTCCGAGTTCCCGACGTTGCCGGCGCGAGAGCCGACTCGGCGGCGAAGTGGCGCCACAATTGCAAGGTTTCATGGTGCTTTGGGGCGGGACCGATATCGCGATCGATGCTTTCCATCGAGCGCTGTCGTTAATGAGCGACCTTTCCCCTTTGAATCGCTTTCTTCTGCTCTGGTCACTTGTTACTTGAACTACTATGCACGTGAAAGTGTATAAAAAGACAACGTGCTAAGTCAGAGAGCACGATATCTAACTACCACTCCTATATCGCACTCAGTCGTTTATAATAGGTGCTTGCATTCTGAAGATGGGTGACGTGATCGATGGGTGCCTTGGGCGTGCAAATTTTGACCAGGGTTGGTTGTGACCTGAAAAGACTCTCGATTGGTTAACAAACATCTACCCTTCGGAACGATCAATTTTTTTGTTCTTTTCTTTTTCAATTGAATGGCCTTCTCTTTCTGGTGGACTGAACCGGGGGCATTCTGCGGTTAGCAAAGATCTGCGGTTATGCAGTTCCCAATCGCTAGTTATCCCAGAAACCTTTACTTGATTGTTGATACCTGATACAAACATAGCACCTGCCCCTCGTTATTCCAGGCGATCGATGTTGGAAAGAGAACGCTGCCCACGAAAAATTGATGTGAGTATGCGGAAAAGGACTCTGACAACCGGGGGGGGGGGGAGGTGTCTCAATCGACGGACACTCGATTGGATTGCTAAAAATTTATTACAAGTTTGACGAACGCGTGTGCTTCTACGTCGACGCTATACGCGGATTTACGCCGCGGATTTGGGTTCAACGCCTAGGCACATTGGAAAGGAAGTGAGGCTTCGGAGAAAAGTAAATATAGTAACGATGAACTCCGACATCAATTATTAAATACAAGATC